TGACTATGAATTGTTGTATTTGGGGAGCTGTGAATTTGTTTTCTTTTTACTTTTACAAAAGACAAGTTTTAGTAAGAAGGAAGCAATGATAAGTACATTTTATACACCTACCTTGAACAAAAATAATGCATTGGACATTATTTCAAATAACAGATAAGATTACCAAATCTAAAATGATGTTACTAATAAAAACTTCCATTAGCACTGTTCATATTCATAAACATTAATCTGTATGTTCTTTGTATTTACATATTTCTAATGTTCTGTTGTAATTTTAAACTATAAAACAAGAACTTGCTTGCCTTACATTACCTAACGATTAGAGGCCTGCGAATAATCAAAACTCACTTTAAAAATGAAATTTAACTTGGACTACTGATTTTTATTAAAGAATATTTTGAGATATTGGGCTGACATCACTATTCAGATACTAATTATGTACTTTCATGAATACAATATTGATAAAAGTCTGTGATACTCTTTATATGTCCCATCAACTTTGAGGAATTTCATCAAAACTTCAGTATACTCGTGGGAGTTGTGATACGTGTGAAGGACATCTGTCATGTCTGCTGTGAGTGGGGAAGAATTAAAAAGTGCTTTCCTCATTAAAGCTGGGCTTATACTTTTCTCATATTGGAGGAGTTTGATTTCATTACATTGATGGACTAAATGTTATGTATCAAATAACATTGGGTTAGAGATAAATGTAAAAATCTTCTAAATCTTAAACTACCACATGTAGTTCTCAGTTTTTGGCTTTAAAAATAAAGAAGGTAATAAGATTAGATTAATTAAGCATTAGGAAGATGTACATTTAAAATGTAAAATAAAATACAGTAAAACTTCTAATAAACTTAATGGATACCTCAGTATGAGTACCATGCACTGTACTATGTATTTTACACATATTTTCATTTATTCTTTTTGACAACCCTGAAATTGATATATTGTTTCTTACTGGAGAGGATTGTAGTGAAATCATGCTATTTAAATTTTTCCTAATATAGAATTATAAAGATACTTTAACATTGAAAAGGGAATGAAGTCCTTCCAGCTGCAGGTTTTCAAACTCTTAGGTTTAAGTTTGTTATTATGCCCATTTTGCTGTCCTCATAGTGAACTCTAGGATTAATTCGTGCATTTTGTGGTGCTCAACCAACATATAAGGGAATTGTAGCACAGAGGAAACTCTGTCTATAAGGTGCTGCTGATGCCCTTGACGCCTTGGTACACAAGCTTACCCTCCTGGGCATCTTAACATTTTTTGCTCTATTATCTAATTCTTCATCACAAATTACCACATACTTTGCATCTTAAAACAACACAGATTTGTCTCACAGTTTTTATAGTTCAGATTTCCAACTGGGCTCAGCTGAGTCTTCTGCTTAGGGTCTTACAAAGCCAAAATCAATATGTTGGCAGAGTTACATTTCTTTTTTGGAGCCTCTGGGGAAGAATTCACTTCCAGGTTCATTCAGATTGTTGGCTGAATGCAGTTGTAGGACTGAGGTCCCTCTTTTCTTGCTGACTGCCAGCCAGGGCTGATGTTTGCTCCTGGAAGCTGAAATGCTTTCAGTGCTGCCCTCTCCAGTAATGGTAGGTCAGATCTCTCTCCCATGCTGCTAATCTCTGTGACTGCTGCTGTGACTGCTGAATCTCTGATTCCAGAGGGAGAAAGTTCTGTGCTCATGTAATTAAATTGGGCCCCCTGGATAACCCAGGTAATCTTATTTTAGGATCTGTAATCTTTTTACAGCTTCAAAGTCCTGCCATGTAACATAACCTATTTACAGGTTCCAGGGATTAAGGTATGGGCATCTTTGGGGGAAGGGATCATTCTACCTACTACACTCATGCACCTGAAAAGAAATTTTATTTAAAAAGTTGAAAAAAATATAATTTCTGGCTTTTCTAGCTACCACTATTTTATAAATACCCTATTTCCATGGTGATTTGATACTATCATTCATTTTAGAAAACAAACTTGACTTTCCATGTTGATAGCACTCTTGCAAACATTGTGAAGTTCCTGAAACCCATCTTACCTTCTGTAAGTGACAAGCATCAACCCAAGGTAACACAGTATAAAAAGGGCAAGAATCCTCTGTATGGGCAGGGAAAGCAGTGTTATGACAGGAATCAGAATGGCTGTGGTGGGCATAAAAAGCTGATTTTCCACAAAAAGGCTAAACTACAAAGAAGATTGTGTTGAGGCTTGAATGGGTTGAGCCTAACTTCAGATCTAAAAGAATGCTGGCTATTAAGAGATGCATACATTTTGACCTGGGAGGAGATGAGTAAGGGCCAAGTGATATAGCAGCATATTTTGTTTTATTACGTGACAGTAAAATCTCAATATGTTCACTTAAAAAATCTTGAATTAATTCATTTTTAACAGTTGGAAACTTCTGTTGTTCCTTTTTCTTATTGAAGCTTTATTTACTTTCCACTCCTCTAACAATTTTATTTGAATCCAGTGTATTTTAATATTTTAAAGTATTTATTAATCACCTTATCTCTGCAACAAATATAAATTAAACTTTTCAAAGTTTTTTACTGATTTCCTCTTTGTTTTGTTCTCATGGAGCTCTCTGTCAGGATGGTGCACTTTTGGACAATATTTTGAGAGTGGAAATCATTAAATAAAAGTGTTTTTATTGTTCCAGTCATTACACTATACAATATATCTGAATTCAAAACATTCCTAAGCATAGGGCAAAACACCATTATTAAAGCCATACTTTGCTTTAACAGAAATATTTATAAGACAGGAAAAAATGCAAGTCTGAGATGTAATGGTACCTTGATTAATGGAAGCTTTAATACACTCTTATTTTAAATTATTCCCTTTTTTGGTCCATGGAGGGTTTTACATCCTGGGGCAATGCATTGTAATAAGATTTGATCTGGGTGAGAGAGATGAGTTTCATTTGAAGAGTAGAAGAATGAGGACTTAAGGAAAGTAGGCAGATCGTTTTTAGGAAAGCACACATATGGAAGTTGAGATGGAAATTGATTTTCTTAACACTTATCTTGTTCAGATGTCTTTTGGAAAGTCTTAGTTACCTTCAGTAATACATACAGCTGTGTGAATACTGCTGCCTTGAGAGACTGTCCCCCTTTTGCCTAGTGTCAGTTCTTCCACAAGACCAGAAGCCAGCTCTTTCTTCCAACCAGGATTGCCTTTGTGTTAGACTCATCTGGGTCAATGTCCAGGAAAATTCCTTTCTCGTGCTACCTTTTGACCCCTGTTTCCTGGCACAGTATCAACCTTTTTCCAGAATACTTGCCTTCACCAGAGATCCTACCCCTTACCCATAGGTTAGTTATATCCAAATACCAGAAATACATAATACAGCAGCTAGGGTAGGGTAGAGACCTAGAAGATGGGAACCTTTACATTATCCTACAGAGCCACTTGTTCTTTGAATTGCTGCTTCATTTATAGTCCCCAAGTTACGTTTGTATAGCCGAATATCCCTTTCCCTTTAAGGAACAGGCTGTATATAAAACAGATTTTGGCTGCCAGCTTTGAAATGAATCTTTCTGGCTTCTGGTATTTGCATCAAAGTTTTAAACATACTAAGGCTATTTCAGCCGACTTTATTCAAGGTAAAGTGCAACCCTTGTCTGTACAACAAGGAAATCTCTGAGGTTCATGCATGACCTAATAATGGGAGAGAAAGTCTTTCCCTTTTAACATCCTGCTTCTGGGTTCACTGCCTTCCCCTAATGCATTTTGTAACCGAGCCTTCTGCCAGCTCTTACCCAGTCTCACCTTGGGCACTCCCATACTTACATAATGGCCCTGTACTTCATGGACTGCTTAAATGAGTTTGTCCTCCCAAAGTACAACTACATAGGTTTTTTCTTTACTTTGGCATTGGTAGTCTGGTCTTTCTATTTTCCCCTTTGTCACCTACATATTGGCCTTGCATACTTACAGAAGTCCTTGTGAACACTGGTCTTGCTCCTTGGTCACTTGGCAGGACTTTCTGCTTTTGAAAGTTCCTTTCAGTAGACTTTTAAGGCAGTAGACTGCCAACCATCTCACATTTTAAAATGAGATGATGACAGAAACAACTGATTGTCCACCAATATTCATTCTTTTCTTTTTCCTTTTTAGCTGAGCATATGGCAAAATAAAAAATATATTTCCCAGTTTTCCTGCTATCTATGGCCATATGACTTAAGTTCTAGCCTATGGAATATAAATGGAAGTTTCCTGTGAGATTTCTAAAAAGACTTCCTAAAGGTTGACTATTGCTTATCTCCCCATTCTTCCTGTTTTCTGATCAGCAGATGTAATAACTACACCTTGAGCAGTTATTTTAAACCATGAAGGGGATGCCACATGTTAAGGGTGGCAAAACAACAAAGTAGAAAGAGCCTGGGCTCATAATGATCATGGTTCTAGACTGCCTGTGTTTATACGAGAGAAATAAACTTCTGAGTCATTTAAGCCATTGTTATTTTGAGTTTTCTGTCAGTCACAGCTGAACCTAATTCTGATTCAGATATAAAAAAGTCAAGCTGTTTCCAAATAAGAAGCACATAAACTGGTCCCATGGATGTTGTGGTGTAGTACTGACACAAGAAACAGTATTAATCGTCACTCTGTTTTGATGCTCAGATTCAGCACTGCCATTTCACCTGTCGTCTATGACTACCTTTCCCTTCCAGTATGCTAAAAAACTTCGTTTTTCTTCTTTCACCAAGATTCCACTGCCGTACTTCCATCCTTGAAACTTACACTTCTGATAATTGGCAGTGTGCCTGGAGTTATAGGAGGTTACAAGATAAACATCTTCCTGGAGCATTGAAGACTTTGGAGGGAACCCTAGTTTTTATATTAAATAGAATGGAGGCAGATTTCACGTGCATTTTAAAATATAAAATAAAATATGCATTTTTAAAATATAGTGGATGGAGTTGAACTGCATGAGGCATTTTCTTTAGACCTCAGAGTAATGAGTTCACTCTTTTCTTCATCTTAGAAGGAAACCTGGGAAGCACTGCTTACCTGATTAGAACTGAGGGAGTCCTAGGAGCAGAGTGAATAAAGCTCATGGCCCACCAGCTAGAAAGGTAAGAGATTTTAAGCTTTTAATGCAAAAGTGGTCTTTTTATTTTGTGATTGTCTCTCAGATATTACTGAATTCAACAGATGTTTCCAGATAGTAGTCCTCAGAATGCTAGTGTTCTACCATACTAACAGTGTCTAGTAAAAAAATTCTGAGGTTCAGCAAATTTGAAAATGTCCTTTAGGAGCTACTGTGCATAGTAGCACACTAATAGCACACTGAAGTGTTTAATTTTGTTTAACCCAGAGGCTCCTAAACCTATCTGACTAGGGAGCACAGAGTCCTAATATGAAAGTCCCAATTCTCCTAGGATTTTATAAGGATAGCAACAAGTTAATCCATGACATATTTTCTACATTTCAAAAATATTTCGGATAAAACGTTTTACCCACTCTAAAGCTGTTAGCTAACTAACAGCTAACTAAAATGTCAAATGTATTTGGCTTGAATTTTATCAACTAAGTTTAATACCATGATTATTTCATGCTGATCAAAAACATTGATAGGAAGTTACATACTCAAACATTTACCTTTATTAAACATCTATGTGGCAGCCACAGTATGCTGATGTTAAAAGATACAGAGTACAATGAGTTCTGATCTCGAGCCATTTATAGTTTAGGGATATAGCTTCTAAAAATAGAAAGAAAATACTTATTTAATAAATGTGGCCCAGAATACAGAATTTTTCAAAACAGTGTGGTCTGGTGATAGAGACTTTGTCAAATATACCAAGATACACAAGCAAATTGGCCTATGCTATTGTATCTGATTCTAGAGATTCATATCAAATGAGAAACTGGGTATAAATGTACATTTACTCTAATTTTGACAAAAATTTGGAAAATACTTTAAATGTACATCTGCATTTGAAAAAGTTAAAATTTTTCAGCAAGTATGAGGAGGAAAGAGTTCCAACACTTGATAATTTTTTTCTTACACACTAATACCTACATTAAATAATTTTGAGCTACTTGTCCAACCTAAATGTTCAAGTCTACTGATTTGGTCACAACTATTTCCCATAAAATGTAAATTCCATGAGGCCAGGGACCATGTCTATATCATTGTACTCTGGAGTCTAACACAATTCCTACCCACCTGTACCTACTCAATGAATATTTATTGACTGAATGACTAAGTAAATGAGAGATCTGAATTTCAGGTTAGGGGGATAGTGGGTGGAGGGATATCAGAGGTGAGCGGTGTTAACTAAGAAAGGGATGGATAGTGGGAAGTGAGACTGAGAGAGGGAGCTGATTAATAGCCTGCTTGACTAAATCCAAGAGATGAAGAGGTAGCATGAGATTGGGATAGGAGGCAGAAGGCAGTCCATTGCAAGGATTTGAAAATAATGTTAAGGATACGAGGTTTTATCCTAAGAGCATTTTTCATAAGCAGGTCCTTTTCTCTTATTTTGATTGGTAATGCTTGAATTCAGGCCATCATTCTGAATTCAGGCTAGTTAGCAATAGCCTGTACTGGTTTTCTTATGCATAGTGTTGCCCTCTGTAATCAATCCTCCATACTTCTAGTAGTGATCTTACCAACATGTCCCTTTCATTATCTAGTTCATCTGCTTAAAATCTGTTCATTTTTTTACAGCAGAGTTAAGCAAACTTTTTCTTTAAAGGGCCAGATAGTAAATATTTTAGGCTTTATGGGGCCACATGTGGTCTCTGTTGCTTGTATATGTTTTTTTAATTTATTGATTTTTTGTTTGTTTTAATCCTCAGTAGTGTTGATTTTTTGTTTGTTTTAAGAATAGTTTATTGATTTTTAGAGAGAGAGGAAGGGAAAGAGAGGGAGAGGGAAACATTGATGTAAGAGCACCTCGATTAGCTGCCTCTAGCATGCACCCCACCGGGGATCAAGCTGGCAACCCAGGCATGTGCCCTTGACAGAAGCAAAGTGGCAACCTCCTGGTGCACAGGACATACCCAACCAAGTGAGTCACACTGGCCAGGACTATTTACTGATTTTTAGAGAGGAAATTGGGAGGAGAGAGGGAGAGAGACATCAATTTGTTGTTACACTTATTTATGCATAGATTTGGTTGCTTCTTATATATGTCCTAACCTGAGATTCAACCTGCAACCTTGGCATATCAGGACGATGCTCTAACCAACTAAGCTAATAAGCCAGGGCTCAATTGCTTATTCTTCTTCCCTCTCCCAACCCCTGCCCCAACCAGTTACAAATGTGAAAGACTTTCCTAGCTCAACATTTCAGCACAGGGCCATAGTTTATAACCTCAGAGTGGGGGTGGGATGGGGAGGTAAGGATGGAATCAAAACTCCTTGCCAGGGCATTAAAGGCCCTTCAAGATGTGCTTCCTTCTCTGGCCTCATCTCTCTTCCCTTCAACCTTTGTTTTACACTTCAGCCATCAGAAATTCTTAGAGATCCTTCAGTATATTCTGCTTTATTGTGCTTTCTACATGGTGTCTCTTGTACCCAAAACATCATCTCTAGCTGGCTGATGCCTCTTTCATTGAGAAGACTAAGTTCAGGCATTGCTTCCTTCAGTAGTCTTCCCATACCCTCTCTCTAGAGTTGGCCAGGTAGTTGTCTTAGTTAGGGCATAGAAAATCAGATAAATTCAGGTTTTTTAAAAAAAGGAGCCTTACACTCAGGATATAGAAGACCCTCTCATGACCCAATTGTAAGCATATTTAGGCATCTCAGAAACTGTTGCTTCATCTTGGCTGTACGGTTTCTCATCTCTCTTTCTGTGCCTATTCCATTCTGGCTTTCATCAATTTCTTATCAGTATGAAGATGACAGAAAATATCCACCAGTTCTGAATATGATTTTGAATCTTTGGTGCCCACCTCTGGCTGATTTTTTTTTTCTTCTACAAATTTCCTGAAGAGGTAATATGATTGGCTTAACTTGGTCAGGTGTCTCCCCTGGTTCACCTGAGCCAGGTATGTCAGGGGCTCTTGGGTCAGATGTATAGGATTGTCCTTGGAAATTGTTCTGTAGTATGATTCTCTTTGTTATTAACCTTGCAGTACAGAACATAGTTTTTCTATTCTTTGATATCTCATAACATGAAAGTTATAAACTAGAAACAAGCAGAGAATTGTTAGAGAATCCATATATTTTGTAGTATTTCTTTCATATAACCACTGCTGAAAAACTACATACTAATTATATCATGGTTATATGTGAATTATTATAGTGCATATGTTATTTACATACAACATAAACTGTAAGGTTTTTTTAATTTTTAATTTTTTTAATTTTAAATTCTTTTTTGAAAATTAAGTTCAGAATCTTTTAAAAGTAAGTTGCCAGCCTGATGTCCCATCATCCCCAAATATCTGTTTTCTACAATAAGTCAGTCTCCTACAAAACCACAATACAACCATGAAAATCAAGAAATTAATATTAACATATTACTATCATCTAATTTGCACATCCCATTTAAATTTTTCCAGTTATTCTAATAATGTCTTTTTATAGTTCTAGCAAAAAGATTCAGGCTACAATCTCACATTGCAGTTAGTTATGTGTCATTGGTCTTTTTTAATCTAAAACAATTCCTCAGTCTTTCCTTGACTTTGATGACTTGGACACTTTTGGGGATTATAGGCTGGTTATTTTGAAGAATTTACCTCAATTTGGGTTTGTATAATACTTCTTCATGACTAAATTCAGTTAATGTGTCTCTGGATTACTATCATGGAAGTGATAAGAAGATATCCTTATTATTGCATCCTATCAAGGGACTTGGTATTGATTTCCCCTATTTCTAGTGTTAATTTGGATCACTTGAGTAAAGTGACGTTTGCCAGATTTTTATACTATAAATTACTTTTGCCTTTAGTAATTAAAATGTATTTTATAGGGTGATCCTTTGAGAGGATGTAAATATTCTGTCGTGTCAAACTTTCAGTTTATTCTTTTATATCAGTATAGATTAATGGAATCCTATTTTATTCATGATATGGGCCATTACTGTCATCATTTATTTTGATTCTCAAATTGTCCTAGATTTGGCCACTTTCTGGCCAAATTCTTATGTAAGTCCTTCTTTACTTTCTGGCTCAAGATATTCAAAGCCCATTCTGTATTTTCCCTGCCCCAGCCCTGAAATCTACCAAATTTTCAAGGAGCCCAAGTTCCTTTTGGTGGAGAATGGTATCTAGACAAATTCTGGGTGCTAAGTATCATTGTTCCCAGGCCCTCTCAGTGGGCATAGGTAGGGAAATATATGAATATTTGTATGCATATATGTACACATTATCATCTATAGGGTGTCCCAAAAGATGTATACACACATTTTGAATAATTATAAAGGCAGTGTTTATTAAAATACATTTCATTTTCAAAATTGAGCTATCAGCTGTTAAAGTGTGTATATTTTTTGGGACACCTTGTATATTTCTGTATCTTTATATCTATATTGAAGGTCATTTTTTAAAATGTGTTTTTACTGATTTCAGAGAGAGGAAGGGAGAGGGAGAGAGAGATAGAAACATCAATGAGAGAGAAGCATCATCACTTGGCTACCTCCTGTATGCCCCCCCTGGAGATCATGCCTCGCCGGCATGGCTCAGTGATTGAGTGTCGACCCATGAACGAGGAGATCACAGTTCGATTCCTGGTTAGGGACACATGCCCAGGTTACTATCCCCGGTGGGCTCAATTAAAAAAATAAAAAGAAAGTCATGAGTTCACACCAATATCTCCAAATCTCATCTAATACAATGGTTCATTATGTATAATACCTTCACCCATAGTGTGAATTTACCTTTACCAACCACATCCTTGATATATTTACTTGTTCAGTCAGTTCCTGTGGATGTGTATAATGAATTGCCTGTTGTCATCAGACCCTCTCCTCCTTATCAAGTAGATATCCTCCTGCTTGGGCCCTGATATCTTTTGCTGGATTGGTGCCAACCCTGTTCCTTACCCCAGGTGGATGCCTCTTCATGCTTCTTGGGCATTGACATCCCACATCAGTATACGTACCCCCTTATACACTTTCCTCACCCAACTGAGACTTCCCTCAGATCCAACCCCTCTTTTCACCAATGGACACCTTGCTTACCTGCCAGGTTCTAACACTCTGTACTGGGCTGCGCCTCAGTGACCTCAGGTGCCTCCTATTAAGACCCCCCTTCCCCCCCCCCCGAGGCTTGACTTTTATATAAATTTTAAGTTATAAGAAATGGTTTGCTGGTTAATTTCTCCCATTTTCTTCTATTCACCTTTCCTTAAAGTGTTCTTTACTATTTTCTTATTGGCATTTTATATTATGTGTGATTTTATTTGATAAAGGGTGAGTTGTATAACTCTACAAGTCCCTAAAGAGTCCTTCTGTATTATTTTTTTTAAAGGTAGTTTACATAAAATTTTGGTATAATTGGTAGACATAGAATAATAGCAAGATATAATTGTTGATATGCTTAGTAGAGCAAGGCATACCATTTGGTAGGCATGGCATTAGCAATTGAAAGGTTCTTTAATTTTTTACTTGAGTAAGTCATTTCACCCTTTGGGACTGCTTTTGTGGGTTGAATAGTTGGACCAGATCAGGAACACAGTGTGGAGCTACATGATCAGAAGTCCATATCATAAGAAAGAGATTATGATCTATATTCAAGAAAGAGAATTTTGTTCTAACATTTTTTAAGAATCGGCAAAGGAAGCACTTCACAGATAACCATTTTACATATATGAAGAAGTTCAACCTTATTAGTATGTCAGGATATGCAACTTTAAAATTAGTTTTTTCACTAATCTGACAAAAATGTCAAAAAATAATATCTACTGTTGGTGTGGATGTTAAGAAATGAGGCCTTTCTGTACACTACTTGTAAAGTAGAAATCAATATTATATATTCAAGGGCAGTTTAGGAATATAAATCAAAAGCCTTAAAAATATGCCTTCAAAACCCAGAATACTAATTTGAAAGATGATGTGCACCATTATGTTCATTGCAGCATTATTTATAATAGCCAAGCTATGGAAGCAGCCCAAGTACTCATCAGTAGACAAGTGGATAATAAAGCTGTGGTACATATATAAAATGAATATCACTCGGCCATTAAAAATAACTAAATCTTATTCTTTGTGACAGCATGGATGGACCTGGAGGGTATTGTGCTAAGTGCAGTAAGTCAGTCAGTCAGAGAAAGACAAATGCCATATGATTCCACTTATGTGGAATCTAAAGAACAATATAAATGAACAAACAAAATAGGAACACTCATAGATACAGAGAACAGACTGATGTTGCCAGAGAGGAAAGCGGTAGGGGGACTGGGTGGAAAAGGTGAAGGGATTGAGAAGTACAGATTGGTAGTTACAAAATAGCCATGGGATATAAAGTACAGCATAGGGAATATAGTCAATAATAGTGTAATAACTATGTGTGGTGCCGGGTGGGTACTGGAACATTTGTAAAGTATACGATTGTCTAACCATTATGCTGTACACCTGAAACTAATACAAAATAATATTGAATGTAAATTGTAATTGAAAAAAATAAAAAACATTTAAAAAGTATACACACACACACACACACATATGCCTTCACTTTGACAGCAATTTCACGTCTGGAAGTTCATCCTGTGGAAATTATTGCACAAAAATTTGTCCTCAAGGATATTCATTGATGATGAATATTCACAAATAGAAAGTTAGAAATAAAATCTAATATCTAATGATACTATTTATTGATGTGCCAGAACTTAGATAATTGCATTTTAAAGGAAGTTATAGTACTTTTTTTACAGCTTTTAAAATTATTTATCTCCATACAGTTATAAGACTGGAATATGTGCTCTGGAATGTTAAGCAGTAGTTATCTCTGAGTAGTGGTATTTTGGGGGACTTTCCCCCTCCCCCTTTTTGCTCTTCTATATTTTTCTGAGAGAAAATTTAAAGTTCTTTATAACATCTTAGTTCAGTAGTGTAATTAGTTCATATTGTCAGAAAATAACAATGACCTTCTGAGCCCCATTTATAACTTCGGCTTTAAGGGTTTTTTTAGTAACTATATGATATTGATCAATTTATGTGGGATACCTAATAGTGGAAATTGCTCTGGCTATGGTTTTGTTGTTGTTTTTCCAATCCTCACCATAGTTTTTATTGATTTTTAGAGCGAGGGGAAAGGGGAGAGAGAAAGAAATCAATGTTAGAGAAACGCATCAATCGATCGATGGCCTCCCATACAGACTGGGGATTCAGCCCACTACTATAGGTGTGTGCCATCACCGAGTCAAACCCACACCTTTTGGTGTACAGAATGGCACTCCAACCAGGCAGCCTAGCCAGGGCATGTCTGACTATGTTTTAACAAACAAAATTCTAAGTGTACCTTTAATCATGTTTGAGCTTCCAAAATAAAATGCCTTATAGCAATGAAATACAGAAAATATGAGGAGCATATACATGTTTATATGTGAAATTGTCTTAGAATACTGGAAAGAAGAGGTCTAAGCTAGATGCTTCATTAGTTAGTGTAAGCTCCCTTATTATCCTGGAATCTTTTGAGTTTTGAGGACAGGTATTTTGCTTAATTCACCACGACATTCCTAGTATCTGGCATAGTGCCAAGCATAAAGTAGACACTCAAATATGTATTTGTTAACTAAAGAAGAAAAAGTAAATTTGGATAACACTAGATTATGAGGACAAGATAAAGGAGTATAAGAAGAAATGTTGAGAGAGATTAGAGAAACCAAAGAAGCTGATTTGTTTTAAATTTTGCCTAGAACCCTCCTGTGTAGTCCTTTTTTTTTTTTCAAATCCTCACCCAAGGATATGTTTCTTACTGATTTTTTTTAGGGAGAGGAAGGAAGGGAGAGAGAGAGAGAGCCAACCATGCAGACATAGACATAGATGTGAGACAGAAACATTGATCTGTTGCCTCCGGCATATGCCTCAACTGGGGATCAAACCCACAACCTAGGTGTGTGCCCTGACTGGGTATTGAACCCACAACCATTTTTGGTGTACAGGAGGATGCTCCAGCCAACTGAGCCACCTGGCCAGGGCCCTCATCTGTACTGTTTATGACAGTGATTTTCCCACCAGTGTAAGTTGTAGATGCTTGCCAGAGAGAGTGATGTGGTGTAGTAACAGTTCTCTATCTACAGTCATTGACTTCCTCAACAATTTATAGTTTAACAAAAGCCTCCTTCCACATTTTCCTATAAGCACATTTCCAACCTTGCTGTAAAAGGGATATAAGCCTGGATTTAGAGGTTTGAGATTTAGTTAGATTAATAGAGATGGCACTTGAGCCTCCCAGAGGAATTATCATTTATGTCTCAAAGTGCTTCAACCGTTATATTTACAGCTACCTCAGCTAGGTATTAGAAAAATAGTAATAACGAATGAGAATTTTTATTGGTTGGCTAGGAAATAGGCTGATGTACAGGTAAGGATCTTCTTTTTTAGAGAAAGGAGACAGCTATGGTGGGGGAGTGGAAAGGATGAAAGAGGAAGGGGTACCAAGGGTTAAATCTCAGAAGGCACTTCTAGAACTATCAGATTGGTCCCTGCACTACCTCTATATTCTCATAGTATTTTAACTCTCATTCTTACCAAAGGAATTGGAATTAGATTTCTGTATTCCTCTTTCTTCTGTTAGACTGAAAGTTTCTCAAATGCAAGCATTGTTTTTTTCAAAAAATCTTTGTGTCTTGGCATATATTTGGTGTCTAAATGCTTCTGGAACCTAACTACGTTTAAGTATTGCTTTGGTTTTTCAAAGCAATATAGTGACAAAGTGAACTAAACTTATTTGACTTGTTTATGTCATACAGCTATTTATTCATTCCTTAATATTTCGAGTAAATGTTTTGAGGTTGGCACTGTTTTAGGTAGTTAACCCAAAAATAAGTTCTTTGCCCTTATTGAGCCCACATTCTACTGGTAATGACAGAAGCATAACTTTTATAGATTTCCTTTGTATTCCTTTGGATTATTCTTTTTCCTCTTCTCACAGACAGCATGGTAAAGATGGATGTGAATGAAGAAATGGAATCTTACTAGATACAAGTTTTGCCTGGGACCAGGGATAAAACCTTCTACTTGCTATCTCCTATACCACATCGTTCTTGATTCCAGATTTAGAACTGTGGCTATTTACAGATTTCCCTATAAGAAATCATACACTGTTCCTGAACAAGACATTCTTGACACCACAATTAGAAGCAAAATTATGAAAAATAAAGGTTTTCTCTCTGTACCATTGGCTTATTTGAGTAAGCATATATATAGTTACTCTGTTCACCACTAGATGGGGTTTTAGTGAATACAGGATGAAATAATATTAGCAGAGTTTTAAAAATGGGCCACTGACCTAGATTGTTTCAGTATGTTACTTGTCCTTAAGCTAATATCAAATAAGTAAGTTATAAAGTTATGGAAGAGAGAGCTGCTTATATAGATCAAATACATTATGAAACAAATAGATTTTAAGGAATTAGGCTGAGAACCGGACCACCATGAACTACATTTTAAAAAATTAAAAGCCTTTTGAATAGATGTCTTGAAATGCTAGCTCTCATCTTTCTCATTAGACTTCAGAAGTCAGGCTTTTCACCCTTTTAATGGCTGCTCTTTAACCACTGCTGTAAAGGTCTAATTAAATGTTTCTTTCTCTTTTACCCTCTTTGTGGTGGAGTTCGATATTTAATATATATCTTTATATGTATTTATATAAATGTTTAAGACATTTACATGGATGATGTTCATATTTAAGAAGCAGTACTCTATTATAAAGATTCTTAATAGTGACTGGATTTTTGGATGATAATAATGTTACAGTGTCATTATTTGAGTGTTGTTTTGTTCCACAGTGTTTCAAGAAATTTTTCAATACTATTAACTGTGGGAAACCACCTGTTTTGTTTTTCAGTATCCTTGCCATGAAAAAAAGGACGTGATAAGTTGTTCAACTTATGAAATTCAAGTTACATGTGAATTCTGCCAGGTATGTATGCAATATTTGATATTTTTAGCCATTTTTAATATTTTAGAGTATAAAATTTTTCAAAGGTTGTTTCTAGATAGGTATTTTAGTGTTTTTTCCGTTAATAAGAAAACACTTATCTAGTGTGTTGTTTAGCTGAATATCCTATTGTTTTTAAATTATTAAAAAGAGCATCAAAATATACCTAACTATGACAAATATAAACATATTTTAGGGTTTTGATTTCTCCTAAAATGAGTTACAAGTAATACTAGTCCCATGAGATATAGTACTCTGTAAAAAGGGGTTCAAATAGCAAATGGATGTGGAAAAAATATGCTAGGTGCTCCTTTACTCATTTCACTTGAACATATTGATGGCTCTGAAAAGTCGTACCAAAAATAAATAAATAAATGCTTCAGCATTTCCCACATTTGTTGGGCCACATACCTTCTTTCTGTAGTAGCTATTGTCATCCCTGTTGGAAATGCTTTGGGAAACACTGCGCTGAAGTTAACAAGCTAGTGTTGAAAAGGGCAGAATTTTTAGTTGAGTCGAATACACTTGTTACATATAATTTCTAGAAAGAATGCAAAAACAAAATAAAAACCTACAAGTTGATGGAATAATTGGGAACTTTAAGTCTAAATCTAAAAGTAGGAAAATAATCTTGACTCAGAAATATCTTTTTTTAGTTATTTTGTTCAAATCAGGATCCAAAAAGGTCACCATACTGCATTTGGTTAGTATGTTTATTAAAGCTCTCATAACCTAAAACAGTTCACCCTACTTCCTACTCCCCACCCCACCTCCTCTCTTTTCTTCCGTATGCTTTTTATTTATTGAAGAGACCAGGTCTTTTGTCCTATAGAATTTAGCTAATTGCAACCTGGTAGTGTTGTTTTACATGTTTTTCTATCACCTGTATTTTCTGTAGTTGGATCTGCAGAAGCTTAATTACATTCAAATTTGATTTTACTTCCCCCAAGAATACTTCATGTGTTTTTATTAATCCTCACCTGAGGATATTTTTCCATTGCTTTTTCAGAGAAAGTAGAAGGGAAGAAGGGGGTGGAGAGAGAGAGAAACATCAATGTGCGATGTTTCTGGTTGTCTCTTGTGCACACCCCGGGAGAGCGAACCCACAACCAAGGTACATGCCATTAACTGGGAATTGAGCCCACCACCCTTCAGTGTGCAGGCTGACACTCTAACCACTTAGCAACACTGGCCAGAGCTACTTCATGTGTTTTCTTTTGCATCATATTAGGAAGCATGTAATGTCTTTTTGTCCCACTTTTAGCGATGTTAGTTTAAGACTGACCAGTAAGTTTAGGTGCTGTCAGCTCAGTCCAATCATTATAAAGTTCCCATCACTTTTTTTCCTAATGGTTTTATCAGAAATTGATGATAGTTGCCTAGATCCATTATTTATTGGGGGTTAAAGTGGTGATTTTCTAACGACAGTATTTCGTTCTTTCTGCACTTTACTGTTTAACAGGAAGGATTTAGCCTGATAGACCAGGGTTCCTACCCCTTTTTTTAAAAATCCTCCCCCAAGGATATGTTTATTGATTTTAGAGAAAGAAAGAGAGAGAAACATCGATGTGACAGAGAAACATCGAGCAGTTGCCTCTTGTATGCACCTTGGATTCGAACCCACAATCTAGGTATGTGCCCTGACCGGGAATCGAATCCGAAACCTTTTTAGTGTACAGGAAAATGCTCCAACCAACAGAGCCATTTGGGTGGGGCCCTACCCTTTTTTTCTATAGTATAAAATTTGCATGTTCACATATATTTGTCTACTCATAATAAGATAGAAGATAGGGTTAAAATGTCAGTAAAAGTATATTAGTTCACATCCGCATAGAAAAGGTAGTAAACTTAGTGAAAATTTAAAAATGCTACATTTTAAATTATTCTTTATTTATAAATCTGTACTGTAAAACATTTAGCCATTTCTTAATGTTTTACTGTAGGCAATACAAGGACCTGTGGAATATGAGTGATGACAAACCCTTTCTATGCACTGCCCCTGGATGTGGCCAGGTAATACATAAATTACTTTAAATCATTTTGTATATTTATATTTGTTAAAACACTGATGACAGTATATGTTGTCACTTTAAAGGATTCTCTTACAATGTTTTGTACAATTTTGGAGTTAAATGAAAATAACCCAGAATAATTTGGGAAAGAAACTCTTCTTTTTCCTCATTAGCATTATTGAGTTTTGAAAAATTCAATCTAATATGAAAAAAAGCTACATCTTACAATGGAAAGGTGGAAAACCTGGACAAAATCTCAGGTTTAAAAGTATTTTTATTTGACCATTATTGCTTGAAAATCACTGTAAACTGCCTAATTGGAAATTAGATGTACATTATCTTATATGGAAATTATTTTATTTGCTAAACTCTTAGAAATTAGCTAATATTTACCTGAGAGTATTACTAATGTATTAATGTTCTTAAGTCTAACATCTTTAATACAGAGCATGTGTGAAAGCTTTTTCAGAAAATAATACTTTAGTGTTGTTTCAGAAAATAATATTTTACTGGTTTGTAACAGGCTATTAAATTATTAATTTATTGCTATTATTATTCTAATCTTAAAATAACTACAGGCACTAAGGAATTAAAGAATAAATTCAATGTGTAGTAAAATTACAGAATACTTAAGTATACAAATTATTAATCAGAAATAAGTAGGAAAGTGTTTTATTCTGGTATATCACATTTACTCCTTGGATTTGGTACTGAGTTAAATGGAGAGAGAGGTGGTATTACTCACGTCATCCATTTTGCTGGAGTGGATTGAACAGATACAGCATGATTCTGTAATGCCGTGGATTACAGTGAATATAGTATGTTTCTGGAGCCAGTCTTTGGACAACAAACAGTTTTGCTATGTTCTAGGGTTTATTCTTAGAAACTCAGTCTCAGACAAGCCCCTAATTCCTTCTCCTAATAGTTTCTTAAAATAATAAGAATTGCTTGTTATTTTGTGATTGACTCTTTACTAATACACATGCCATTTTTAATAAAAAGTATTACATTTAAATTTGCTTAAATTCAACAGAACAAAAAGAAACCTCTTGCTGAATATATGTGTGTATGTGTATCATAAAAGATTGTTTCTTAAAAGGCTTCTCTAATATTAAAAAAAGGAAAATATTAAGAAGTTAGAATTGTTTTTTAGACTTCCTATTGTGAAAGGAGTTAACATTCATACTTCCACCTCCCTCTTTTCCCATCTCTTAATGTCTGATAATTATTGTTTTTTACATTGTCAAGGTTTGTAATACATTTTGTCTAATAACCTGTAATTCCCATATTTGCTTAGCTTTACTTCCATATTTAAATAGTGTAGATGGCGAAGAAGGGAAGGACTAAGTGTTAAGTCACTGTGTATTTAGAAGTCAGAAAGAGGGAGAGGATGTAGCATGGGAGGCCGAGAAGCAGCAGATAGGAAAATTGTGTCCTGGCAGCAGATAGGAAAACTGTGTCAAGTAGAAGTGTTTCAAACTGAGGGAGCAATGTAGTCTTATAGTTGGTAAGAAAAAGGTGAGAATTCAGTATTTACTGTTGGGTTCAGAAATACAAAGATTATTAGGTGAGTGGTTTCATTGCAGTAGCAGTGACGACAATGTGATTGCAATAAGTTGAAGAGAAAATAGGGAAAACCAAAAGTAGAGAGCATTATAAGACAGCTCTTTCTTGGAGTTTAGCTTAAAGGGAACAGAAAAATATAGCTGGAGGAGGATTGAAGTGGAGCTTGATGTTTTGCATTGTATAGTGGGAATATCACAACATATTTGACACTGCAGAAAGAGGAACTGTTGCAGGATTGGGGCCCTTAAATAGGTAAAAGAAAGGATGGGATCTGGTGCTCAAGTAAAGGGACTGGCTTTAAATAAGACCATGGGCAATTATTCAATAGTAACTGAGAGTAAAAAGGGAGGGAGGTAGAGGGTTGGAAGGTTTGAATAGAGAAAAGAAAGCGTACAGACATTTTTCCTTCAATGTAGTCACCATTAAAAACAAAACTACATTTTTGTTTATTCCATTGCACAAAAGAAATTACCTTTAGAAGCTATGGCATGTTGTTTCAAATGGCCTTAGGGGTAGCAAATTTTTAGCCCCTTATATCACTTAGGATGCTGGTTAGGACAGTCAATCTAACAATGTCTTAGAGTTTGATTTTATGTAACAACCCAGATGTAGGAGTTCCAGGGTAGGCTGACTCTGCTATCCTCAACATGTGAATTCCATTTTTAGATCCAGGATGGCTGTCCCAGCTCCTGCCATCAAGTTCACATTTCAGCAATGAGCGGGGGGAGAAGGGGAAGCAGAGCACACACATACACTTGCCACTTTATGAGCAAGTATTATTAACTGAAAGTCATGCATATAATCATTTATTTATTTTTGGCAAGAACTCAATCACATGGCCACCTTATTGCAAAGGAAGCTAGAAAATGTAGTCTTTGTTCGTGGCAGCCAGGTACTCAACCAAAATTAGGAAATTCTTTTATTGAAGGAAAAAAATTGAGTAATAGAGATTGAGGGACAGTTAGCAGTCTTTATTATAGTTTTCAGAGATGATTTTGAATTTGGGGATGTAGCAGTACGTCATGTGGAGCCTAAATCTGGTTAAGCTGGGTACAGTAAGACCTCACTTAATGTTGTAAATAGGTTCTGCAACTTTAAGTAAAGCAAAGTGTAACTAAATTTCATCATAGGGAAGAACTAAAGGCTAGGACCTGCTCTAATGTGGGGTTTTTTTTAGTTTAAAACAAAGTTACCAATGTCTGGAATTTAGTTATCAGTAATGTATCAGTGTTGGTTTCTTAGTTTTGATAAATGTAACATAATAAAATAAGATAAAAACATTAGTGGCAGCTGAAACTGTTCTGAGTGTGCAGGAACTTTCTGTACTATCTTTGTAACTCTTCTGTAAATTTAAAAGTTTTCCAAAATATAAACTTTATTCAATAACAATAACAAAAACTCTATCCCAGAAACACACACACAGAAGTTACCTATGAACCATAGAATAGAGCATTCAAATATTAAGTATATACCATATCTATTATTTATCTGTGCCCCAACTTGTTTCAAATAGTATTTGGGAAATTGAAGGTTTATATAATAGTTGTAATAATAAAAACAATGATAATATTTTTTAACTTAGTCACTGTGCTAAGAAGCTTATGTGGATAGTTATTTAATACTCGCAACCACCCTATGAAATGGGTGCTACTGTCCTCATTTTACAGGGAGCAACTGAATGTAAACATATTATGAACTTCTCTGAGTCACAAAACCAGGAAGTATTAGAAATAAGTTTGTACCCAAGCCTACTCTTGTGTTCTATCTGTAAATAGAATGTTCAGACCTCAAGGTATAAATACAGGTATTTGTATTTGTTATCTTTCAATTAACAAAGTTTTTATTTCCTCTTAATAACAAAAGTTTCACAGAAAATGTTGGCAGACTTAAAAGGACAAAATAAAATCTAGAGAGGACTCTTAACATTTGGAGCATTTCATAAGTCCTTCTCCCTTTCAAACAAAATTGGCACCATACTGCACTTACATAGTTTTATATTCTGAGTCACAAAACCAGGAAGTATTGGAAATAGAATATTTGTATGCACATTACATTGCATTTATCATAAGCATTTTGTGTGTTAATTGAAAACATGGATTTAAGTTGCTATGTCCTATTCTATTGCCAGAGCATGTCCCTTAATTTATTTACTCATTCCTCTGTTATGGGCTTTTATAATTTATAAAACTTTTATGATTTTTAATATAATTATATAATATACAAATTATGTGAATATATATAATATGTAATTACATATAATTTTATAATTCCAGTGTTATAAGCAACAGTGTGATGAATATCTTATAATACCCTTTATATGCATCTCTAATTAATTTATCAAAATACATTTTTAAAAATAGAATTTCTTGGTCAAAATGTATATATAGTTTTGAGGTTCTTCATACATTCTGCCATATTGTTTTTAAAAGCTGAACCAGTTTTTATTCTAATAGTTTATTTAAGCACTGGTTTCATCGTGAACACTCCAGTTTGGGGTATTAGTACTTTTTTTTGTTTTTTGCCTATATTTGTTCCCTAAGGGATTTAAAATAATCTTGATGTTATAATAATATCTTGTAACTTTAACTGTTACTGATCAAAATAGTAACCTGGCTGCCTTTGCTGGGTGGCTCAGTTGGTTGGCGCATCCTGCTGAACACCAGAAGGTTGTGGGTTTGATCCCAGTCCGTGCATGTGCACAGGCAACCAATGGATGTTTATTTCTCTCTGTTCCTCTCTCTCTAAAGTCAATAAAAAAGCATATCCTCAGGTGAGGATTAAACAAAAAGTAACCTGGCTAATGTCACCATCATCCATTTGTTAAATCTTGCTGAGAACAGAAATGGAATAGTCTCTCTCTACATTCAAATAATATTTCCTAGAAAATCAAAACTCCTAATAGGAATTGAATTTAAAAGTGGCGGTAGTACAAATTATTTTTTGTCACAAGTAAATAATGACTTTATTCCAAACTTGAATTTTAGCTTTAACACACTTAATAGACTTTTAAATCTTAAAATTTCAAACATATTTTTAAAATTTATATACATTTTGTTGTTAATACCATTTCAGAGAGAGAGACCTATAGCAATCAAGGCAAAGCATTATCAAAGCATGTAACTGTTGACTCTTGATAGTTAATCTTTTCTATATGCCTCAGTCCCTCAGTCACTATTAGGTATTTCATAGATAGAGTTCTGTTGCCCAGGCTAGGTGGCTCAGCTGGTTGGAGCATCATTCTGTACACTAAAAGGTTGCAGGTTCGATTTCTGGTCAGGGCACATGCCTAGGTTGTTGGTTAGATTCCCCGGTTGGGGTTGCGTACAGGAGGCAACTGATCAATGTCTCTCTCTCTCTTCTCTCTCTCCCTCGCCCTCGCCCTCTTTCTCCCTCTCCCCCCTTCCTTTCTTTCTCCCCCTTCCTCTCTCTCTAAAATCAGTAAAAAATATCCTCCAGTAAGGATAAAAACAAAGAATTTTGTTAACTTCATTTGTTTTAAAGTGGTGTTCTGTTGAATTAGTCTGAAAAGACAAAGTGAGACAATTTAGTGAAAAATTCAGGTAACATTGGAAGTCTTCTGTTTTAGCTTTTGGTGACACTCTCATTGAAAATTATTATTTTTTTGTAGAGTGTTTATACATTATAAGCTGGTTTATGAAGGAGATAAAAATTTATTTTATTTAAAGTTTCAGTGGAGGTGTTGTTTGAATGTGTATGCACTCATGTATGTGTTAATCAGTAACTTCCTGATGTTGAATAGGTCCTTCAACTGGTATTATCCTGATGGCTTTATAACTTAGTTATACCTATTTATCTGTTAAATAGGAATAATAATATATATCATATGTGTGAATTAAATGCAGAATGACTGATTTCTTAGGAAGTTAATTCTAGTCAGTGTGTTCAAGTCTTGGAATTACAGATTTCTCAGATATCAGAGCTTATATCACTTTACTATAGAAGCTTCTGATTCACAGCCCTCCAATCTGTCAGGTTACCCTTTCCTTTTTAACCTTTTAAGAGAGATGATTATCCTGTCCTACCTTTCTTGACTGCCTTTCTCATTGTTTATTCAGCTATATTCTCGAAGTCTTGTTTAACACAATACTGTGCACATTTCATATTGGATTTGTGCTAATTGTATGAATTCAATATGTTGTTATTACTAGCAGTATCATTATAATTTTCTTCCAGACTTACTTTTAGAATAAACTTTTTAATTTGGGTAGGAAAGTAATTCAAAGGGATTTTGCAAAAATTTTATTTTAGCATGTAATAGCTACTGTATAAGTATTTGTTGAGAAAATGCATTTTATTCATTCATATATACAGGGATGGGCAAAAGTAGGCTTACAGTTGTAATGCAAATAATACAATAATTCATAAATAAATAATAATACAAAAATAAAATCAGTTTCGCATACTCACATCTGCAAACCTACTTTTGCCCACCCCTGTAAATATCTTTTCTTGGTGACTACTTTTTGACAAGACTGCCTTTTGCCACTGTCTTTAAGTTTCTTGTTAGAGGTAAATAAATTTTTTTATATGACAGCCAAGGTTAAACTCACCTGTATCAAGTGCTAATCTTAGTGTATTTTATCCATGTATATAAATTATATCATTATACAATCAACAGTCCCTTTATAAATAGCATTTAGGTAAATTTGATCTGGAGATCATATATTCATATTTCTTTCATTTCCCTTTTTAATATTAATATGACCCTAAATGTTTTTTAGGGTCTTTTTAGCTGCTCCTTTTCACTTAGGATCAGTCTTGGTGCCATTTTCACATGTTTTGTACAAAACATAATGTTTGTTTATTCTATATGTAGTTGCTTTTTGATTTGAACATCTATGGTCAAGCCATCTAAGTAGAAGATATTGATAGAATAAAATTTCTGGGAGGTAATTTTCCAAGTTCTTATCTATTAATTATGCTGACTTTGCTGTTTTACAATCTAGGACCTCTGTCAAAATACATTCACTCACAAATGTTTACTGACTCTCTTCTGTGCGGAAGCCACATTGTTAGTTTATACGTAACAAAGTGAATTTTGCTTTAAGATACATTTAGTGTGGAATGTAAGACATACATTTAAAAATGTAATACAAAGTTAAAAGCAATGAAATAATGCCAGTAAAGATAGATATGTTCATTCTCCAAGAGCTTTGTTATTCAAAGTCTGTTAAAGGACGACTACTTATTTCTCCAAATTTGGGAGGAATTCTTATAATGATAAAGCATAGGAAAATAGCACTTGAGTGGGGAAGAACTGAGTTATGGTCCCAGTGCCTATAGTTGGTGCTTAGGAAATGTCTGAAGAGTGAATAAATGAATTAAGTCAAGGGATAAAGGTACTGGAGGTACTGTTGCATCTGAACACTCAGCTTCAGTGGGACCACAAGCAGATTCTGAAGGGTGGCTCATATAATAATAGACATTTTTCCGTTGGTGCATACAGTAACCTAAAGACTGAGTAGTAAACCATACTTACTATGGTAGCAAAATATGGCCAAATTAAAAGAAAACTTAATTCACCTTACTGAACAGTCTGTAGTTTTGGTGGTTTATTTTTGTTTCTTTTTTAGGTTGGGCTTGAAGATTCAACTGTTTAATTGTAAGGAGTTCATTCTTTTGAACATTTATTAAATACTTAACATATGTTAACTTTGGGGAAGCTCAAACAATAGGAACTCAGCCTACTTAAAAGGACAGAAATACAAAATTATCAATATAGTTTTGATAGGTACTATAACCAAGGCATTGTGCAGAGCATAATGGGCATTAATGAGAGAGATTATTTTCTACAGATTGATCTAGTTGACTTGTAAGGATGATATAGGTGCTCAATGTCATACTTTTAGAATAATTAGAAAATTTTAGAATAAAGAGCATAATGGAAAGAAATGTTACCCTAAAGCTACTATTATTAGTTGCATGAAAGGGTATAATGAATTGGATAGGTGGAAGGAGGGACCACAAGAGAAGGAATCCATTTGATGATTTGGGGAACTAAGTTCAAATATATATCATTTTAACATCCCCATTTGTAGGGACATAGTCTAGAGAGTGAGTTTAGGTCTCTTAATTTGACACTTTATAATTATTGCTCTGAAATAACAAGGAGTGAGTGCTCCCAATTTTCACTTATTAATGTTGCTTAGTAAAGAGTATCTTTATAAAGGTTGATATCCAGACATTCAGGAGATATTTAAATTATGCATTTATTATGTTGTAATCATAAATGTTACCTTAGGCATGCAGGACCTATCCAAGTTAAATGTAGCTTTAAAAATATTTTTGCTTCATTTTTAATATAAGGACTGAGGTGAAAAAAAGATGAAAAAAAATCAGTATTTTAAGTTAAAATTTTTAATTTTAAAATTATTATTGCACTGGTTGCTGCTAAGTTATGACAGAGGTATTCTCTTTACATGTGGTAACATAAAGAACCTGATCTAGTTCTTAATTCATCCAGGAGTATATTTTTATAAGAAAATTCTCATTTTAAAAGTGGTAAGTAACCTGAAGTCTATGTAAATACAATACTTTCTTCAAAAGTCATTATACCGTGGAGCATATATTTCTACTGTGATATGGCAGAAATTAATAATGGTCTATTTTTAATATCCAGTGAAATTTACATGAAGTTTCTTTGCTTCAGATTTTGTTTTTATATGCTCTCAAATGAGCTATGAGATCTAGTAATATATCAGCATTGCTTATTCTTGGGTAATGAGTTTCTCTGTGATTATTTGAAATATAGTATGTTTATCTGTACTAACAATAGATTCTTCTATAGTTAACAAACTGCTATTTCATTGTTAATGGTGGTTTTACATGTTGTGGAAATGAATTTCCTTATTTTACTTATTTGATCAAATTGAAAATCTTAACTATATTTTAAAACTTTTTGCCACAGCGTTTTACCAACGAGGATCATTTGGCTGTCCATAAACATAAACATGAGATGACACTGAAATTTGGTCCAGCACGTAATGACAGTGTCATTGTGGCTGGTTAGTATATGCTTTTATTAATAGCTTATATACATATTTCACCTGGAATGTGCACAATTTTTGTGTATTCTCTGTAAATAATATAGTCTGGTGATATTCCAATGATTTCATTTACAGTAAATGTTGGCAACATGTATTTTACCCATTACATCTCCATGTTTCCTTCTGACCATTCATTTCACTTTTTTGTATGGTTTTCAAATGTAGATTTCAATGTCAGTTTTGTGGAAGTTAATTAGAAACCTGGGAGCACTCATACCATCTCCAAAGTTTATATTTAATAGATAATTAAACTAATGCGATATTTAGTCATTGTTTCTTTTAGCTGTTCAAGCCTGGTCTACAGTGCTGTGGGAAGATAGAGAATGATACTCCTCCTGTTATGAGAAAGAGCACTTAGACAACTTGTTTATTAGGATTTTGTTTCTACTTCTTTGAACTAAACATCTGTGTTAGTAAAACACTCTCAGTAGTCTCCTAAATTCAGTCAGTGTTTTGTATGTTGATCCTATGAACATAAAGTATCACCTAAGCAGATGATTATCTTTCACAATATGTGAGAAGAGAAACCTAATTTATGTATTGGTTTATTGTCCAACATGCTGTGTTAGTTGCCCCTCTTTTGGTATTTAAATATATATAAGTACACATCTGTGTATATGTACACACATATAATATGTGTAATTTCTCTGCATTTTATATATAAGTATTGAGATAAAATATTTATATGAAACGTATTTATATAAATTTCAGACTTTTAGTGTCATAACTACAGATTCACATATCATAAATATTCAAAATAACACTAAATTATTTTCTTTTGTAAAGCCTAGGTTACACTCTTTGCAAGTCTGTATTTATACCTAAATACTGAATATTATTAGTACTTTAAGATTATTAGCCAAATGTAGAGATCAAATTTACATGTGCAATCTTTGGAAGATAATGAGGCAAATATTAGATGGTTCTTCCAGTACTTTCAACATCAAAATTTTTGTAATGAAAAAATTGAAGGTAACGAAGTTGATAATTTATCAAAATAATTTATTTATGAAAAATGTAGGGGAATGTTCAACCTATCTTCAGTTCCTTAAGTAAAACGAAGCAGAGAGTGAGGTGTGCATTTCTTTAGAGTGTCATATATCAGATATTATGAACTAGAACCAAAAAGCAGTCAAATAAGCTGTACAACAACAACCTGGAAGGTACTCTCTCGTAGGCATGAAAGTCTTTGTTTCTCTGAAACTGTCTTAGAGCAATATCTCTTTTTGTAACTTTAACTCAAAAGTGTTTGAGATTACTTTCTAGAAACTGCTTTTCTATCTGCATTTAGTACAATAGAAAAATAGAACACATTCAGACACAGCACTTGACCATTTTTTTACTAACATATATCGAGGTGAGTAATTTAGCATTACTATATAATAGAATGCATGATGTGTATAGTATATATTTGATGATCAGCAACCATGAACAATTTGCATGTTTAAACGATTGTGCTTGTGTTGACTTTTCTCTAGCCCGATCATTCCAATAATCACTGATAAAGTGATTTATGTATATGCATTTTATTTTTAAGACTTTTCTCTCCCTTTAACACAAATTAGGAGCCTTCTGTTGAGCTTAGATAGGTAAACCCCTTAAATGTGAACAGAAGACTCAGATTTATATTCAATTTACTAATTCAGTCATGATAGACCTAAGCTGATACATGTATGCCCGGACCTTACATACTACGATTTTGGAAATCTTTTGGGGGTTTAGGGTATATAAGTTGCAGACTAACTAATAGGTAAAAGAATGACACAATAGAGACTTTTTAGCAATTCTGATAATACTAATAGTATCTGAGGTAGGCCTACGTTATGTGTAACGTGTGACAAGTAGGTCATTTTAGTGCTAACTACATATATAGTAAACATCTTAGTACTCTAATGTAGTATCGTATTAGTATATGTGTGAGGGTGAAGACAAAACATTAAGTAATGCCCACTTTGGGGATACAGTAATTAACAAATATAGGAATTTTAATTTCACAAAAGATTTTATGACTATTTTACCTTAAACTAGGAGTCATCTTATATTTTTATTTAGCTTATGCAAGATTCATGCTATAACCTATAAAATTGATGCCCTAAAAGATATAAAATGTGAATAGAATTTGAATATGTTACCAACTCTGATCAATATGAATAAATAACCTTGAAAATAATAAGACTTAATAGGCAAAATTTATAAATTTACTATTTTTTATTACACATGGACCTTACCAGTCATTTGTTCTGTAACCAATACATACATATATATGTTCAATACATGTGGTAATGCACATAGCATGCGTAATATTCAAATATAGTGAAAATATTTCAAGTTTTGAAAATGTAAAGTTGAAGTCCTGTGCTGCTGAGAAATTAAGCTAGAACATTCCATAGATATGGAACTCTTACATACCTAGCTCCTCATACAAGATTGAAAAATGCATTAAAATAGAAAATTAGCTTCAATAGATAGTAATAAGGAGGGTTTTGTTTTCATTTGTTTTTATTTTAGGGCTCTTGTTTTAACCTTTTTTTCCCCTTGTATTTTTATTTACCTGCTAAGGATTGTTTTATCTTAAGCATGCTTTCAATAATAGATTATGAGCACTAGTGGAAGGGCCAAGTTAGAGTGTACATACATGCTCTTGCCTTAGTTTTCCCCAAATTGCATGTATTTTAAACTTAATTTTTAATGTAAATTTTTTAAAAATCTTATTGTGTTGACTAATGATAATAGTTGATCTCTGAGTAGAGGATGTTTATATCACTCTACTCAAAAGGTATGGACTAAGGAACAAGAAGGACTTCTTTCATGGTTCATAAACTTGGAGGAAATATCTTGAACTGCAACAAAAATTTAACTAAATTTTGTTTGCTTTAAAGGAAGAGGACTTTCCAAAGAAAGAATTAACAGCTGACTGAAGCAGTCCTGCTAAATTGTTAATTTACTAGGTATATTTTAGGGTTCTTTATGATATTTAAATCTATATGATTGCTTCTTGATATTTATTTCAGATCAGACCCCAACACCAACACGATTCTTGAAAAACTGTGAAGAAGTGGGTTTGTTTAATGAGTTGGCAAGTCCATTTGAGAATGAATTCAAGAAAGCCTCAGAAGACGACATTAAAAAAGTATGTTGTTAACCATGATTTTAAAGAGTACTTCTCACAGAATAACAATTATAGTTTACACTTCTTCTTTCTTATTTTAGATATACTGATTGGCTATTTTTTTAACTCTTAACAGTTTCTTTAATGTTTGTTTATCTTAGATGCCTCTAGATTTATCCCCTCTTGCAACACCCATCATAAGAAGCAAAATTGAGGAACCATCTGTTGTAGAAACAACTCACCAAGATAGTCCTTTACCTCACCCAGAGTCTACTACCAGTGATGAAAAGGTTAGAAATTTGTATTTATGGTAGAAACACAAACTAAGTGGAAAAATCAGCATCCCAAGTAAGGATTAATATTTGATCTACGTAAAACATTAAGGTAATAAATTGTATATAATTCAGTGTCAGGTTATATGTGAAAGCCTGTGAATATTCACAGGAATTTCAGAGAGGGAAGATTTCACCTTTATAGATAATTAGCTTTTTATTACACACAGAAAATTTATAAGGGAGAATAGCAGTCATTTTAGATAAGACATTTTTTAAAGGATATATAAATTTAACTTGATTTTTCAGGGTTTTGCTATTTTATTTTTAACTACTTTTATACAGTGATAGCTTAATTAAGAATCTTTACAATGAAAAGTTGAACAAAGGCTATTTAGGCTTTTAAAGGGTTATGGGCATAGTTATTCATTCTCAGATCAGCAACTAAGATGATGATGATACTGTCTTAGTACAGGCCTTTAGTAGGTAGGTTAGGACCTCATTTCTGGATTTTTTTTAATTTTTTTTTATTTTTCTTTTAATATATCTTTACTGATTTCAGAGAGAGGAAAGGAGAAGGAGAGAGAGAGATAGAAACATCAGTGATGAGAGAGTCATTGATTGGCTGCCTCCTGCACACCCCCAACTGGGGACCAAGCCCTCAACTTGGGCATGTGCCCTGACTCAGAATCAAACCTCGATCGCCTGGATCCTAGGTCAATGCTCAACTGCTGAGCCACACCCAGCCGGGCTCATTTCTGGATCTTGAATAGCCTGGTAACTTGGGACCACCTGGGCTCTCATCTTAAACTTAGTATGCCTAAATCAGAGCCCTTGATTCTTCCCACAGTTTTTCCTATCTCAGAATATTTTCTCCCAATCCATCTAGTTTCTCAAGCCAAGAATCCTTAATTTTTTTTCTTTTCCTTCACACTGAGACCAGCAGCAAATCTTACCAGACCTACTTCCTGAATAGATCCTTAACTTATCCTCTTCTGTCTTCGGTGTCACCATTTTACTCCAAGTCATCATAATACATTGTCACTTCCCTGCTTGAAATCCTTCAGTGGTTTGCCATTGCATTTAAGGTAACTCACACTCTTTCCATGAGCCCTCAGTGATGTGGGTTTGTCAGCCCATCCAGCCTCACCTCATACCATTCTTCTGGTGCGTTTATGAAATATTGCAAGCTTTTTCTTGCCCCAGAGACATTATTCTTAATGTTGCTTCTTTCTCCCTAAAGTGATCTCCTTATCCTTTCAGTATCAGTTCAAATACCATTTTTTCAAAGAAGCTCACATTACTTCACTGTACTATCTAAAGTAGCCAAATATAACCTTCTGTCAGTTAATCTTTCAGTTATTTATTATGTTGTACTTTTACTTCTATAGCACATTTCAATCTGAAATTTTTTTTGTTTTACTTGTTTATTGTCTGTCTCTTTCAGCTAGTCCTTGAGAACATGTTATAAATTCTCAAACTTGTTGAATGGGTGATGTTCCAATAGTACTAGTTTATTTTTCTATGTATCTTAATAAGATTTTGATAAAGAGCAGCAGCATAAAGGCCAATTCAAAGTACACAGTAGACCCAGTTTTTACACTAACAAACTAGTTAAGGAGTTCTGGGTAAGGTCCTTAATCTCTTTGTTTCCTAATTTGTAAAACGGGAAAAGATCATCTGTAACGTCCTGGCTAATTCACTGTTTTTTTTATAATTTGGAAAGATCTCATGCCAATAACTATTTTATAATTATATAATTATGTATTTTATATTTAAGGTATCAATATTACTTGGCCATTTGATGCTGAGAAATTATCAATAATGAAATGATAGCTACCTAAAGCAAACATTTGCATTGCTCTAAATTTTTAAAAAATATTTCTATTATTGAATTTGTATAAGCCATAATATAGTCTCCCTAGACCTCTTTCCTTCTTCTTTTTCTTTTTTAATTGATTTTAGAGAGAGGAAGGGGGGGGGAGAGAGAGAGAGAGAGAGAGAAACATTGATGTAAGAGAGAAACATCGATCAGTTGCCTCCAGTACGCACCCTGACTGAGGATTGAACCTACAACCCAAGTATGTGCCCTGACCAAGAATCACACTCATACCCTTTAATGTATAGGATGATGCTCCAACCAACTAAGCCACACCAGCCAAGGCCTCTTTCCTCTTTTTATAGTACAGTGATAGAGTAGTGCTAGACAATCCTTTCTGGATTTTAAGACTATGACTCACTGAGAATGGATTGTATTTTTATTTTTTACTAAAATTCTCATGGAATCAGAGCCAAGTTACTCAGCCTGACTTATTTCTGGATTGATAGGAAAACCAGTTGTACTGATAAAACCACTCAGATGTTTTTAAAATACGAGCATTGCATTTGAAACTTCAGAGCTGCTTCTAAAATTTTCTTTTAATTAACTTTAGATATTAATTTACTTTGGGGGGTATTAAGTATTATCCTGTGGACACTTTTCAAAGTGTGTTATCTTCTGTTCATTAAGGTACATGAATTGACTTGCATTTTTTAATTCCACTTTTTATCTCATTATTAAATAGGAAGTACCATTGGCACAAACTGCACAGCCAACGTCAGCTATTGTTCGTCCAGCATCATTACAGGTTCCCAATGTGCTGCTTACAAGCTCTGACTCAAGTGTAATTATTCAGCAGGCAGTACCTTCGCCAACCTCAAGTACTGTAATCACCCAGGCACCGTCCTCCAACAGGCCAATTGTGTAAGTGATTTGGGCCAATCATTCACCTATTTATGAATTAAGTTTTTGTTGTCATATTATTATTTGAATTGTGACCTTAGTTTTGTGTATGTATCATATTCTGCATGCTTTGATTTTTGGAAAAAGTATTTGGGTAGTCTTTTTAAAATACATGTATATCTAAGAAAATAAATACCTAAAACTTAGATGGTATTTCTTTTAGACAGGTAGCTCTTAAGAGCTTTCTGATAATAATTTTTCTTATTTGATATATTGGAAATTGTCCTGAATAAATCCATAACTTTTTCCATTTTCTTCCTGTGTTTTTTCCCCCCACACTGCTATATGTATTATGCATTTACAGTGCAATTAAAAATAATTAAATTTTGCAATTTGCTTTGCATTGGTGAGAAAATTTATTTTTAAATGTTATAGTAATAGGAGTAAAAATACTCTTGTGGTTTTAAAGATGATTGATATAGATTTATTTTCTTTAATTTCCCTTCTTTTGTTTTTCTTAGTCCTGTACCAGGTCCATTTCCTCTTCTGTTACATCTTCCCAATGGACAAACCATGCCTGTTGCCATTCCTGCATCAATTACAAGTTCTAATGTGCATGTTCCAGCTGCAGTCCCAGTAAGTTTGAGATTTAGGCTATTTAAATTTTTTCTTTATAGCAAAATTTATCTTTGTAATCAGAAAATACACTTTGGGCTGTTTAATTGGTTTATGAAATAGAATTCAACAAAATATTTATTAGTCACAAGTAGTATTTATTCCTTGATATGTATAGTGGTAACATGCAACATTTAAGGGAAACATAATTGATAGAAAACATTTTTTTATCCTCTAAAAATCTTAATTGTTTCCCTTGTATTTTTAATACTGAGAACATTATTCCTAGTCAGCCCATTTCAATTTGACTAAATTTGTAGAATTCAAATATTAACACAGATTTCTATTCTTTAAGACGGTGTTTATACTAGAACACTTATCAGATAACTCCATGGTATTTAATGTTGTAGAAATTGTTTATTAAAACACTCTGTTAATTTTATGGTCAAATTGGGTTTACAGAATTATTTTGCTATTCGAGTGTGTGAAAATCTAAACACTCTAAAACAATAATTAGTCCACCACTTTCCTGAGAAAATCCCAAAAAAAAGTTGTTTGAGGGGCATGTTAATTATATAAATTTTAAAAGACATAGGCAGTGGTTAAATATCTAATTATAATATTTAATAATTTAGTGAATATTTAAAAGCACATTCTTTAGAATAATGTAAGTTAGAAATGATGCTTATTTTTCCTGTTCTCACATTTATAAAACAATTTTATTCAAACTCTATAAATGTGTCTTCAACATTAAACTTTTCATCATTAGAACCACTTTTTAAGATATCTGGCACAATTTTCCAAAACACATTTTCGTCATTTTTACTTAAGTAATTTCAATATAACACTTTTGAATCTAGTATTTTCTTTCTGGAAGTCTTAGGCCAGTTCCTAATACTCATTCATATAATAAAAAGATAGTTTCTTCTTTTATCTTGTAGATAGTATTTCTGATTAGTACAATATAATCATTTATTGCATAGCTTTTGAAAATTATTTTTAAAAGCCTACTTATAGTAACATCCAACACTTTTGGTGAGATTATACCCCAGAATATTATTAAAACTAATGTTAAATATTTATTTTTATTCCTCTAAGTGATATTTTTAAGTGTCCAGAATTAGCTTTGATTGAAATAATTTCCAGATTATGTGATCTTCAAACAGAACTTTGCTGTTCAAATGCATTATTTGAGAGACCGTAATAAGAACTAAATATAATAAGGTGACTACTTCCTCTTTTCTGAGCATATTTTTAGGGGGCAACATTCTTGCCCTGTACTTGAGATTATATGGTTATCATGTGAAATGTAACTATGATGAAAGAAATGGAAGTGAAAAAGAGGTATACTTTAGTTACACAGTAACTAATCACTCAGAGTTCATACTAGGTTAAAAACAAAATGGGAAAATCTTTCCCAGGTTGTTAGAGAAATTATTAGACGTTACCAGGTTCCTGTATTTTTTTTTTTTTACATCATGCATTATATTAATATAGCAAACTATTTTTATGTTTTATAAATTTATGTATTTTAGAAAAGCACAATTCATTGTTCAAATTATTTTTTATGCCCAGTTGTCACAACTTTTTTGACATTTTCTTTCACCTCAAAATAAATGGAAGTGTAAAGATATGTGAGAAGTTTTGCATCAGTCACTTGGAGTACTGTGAGTTTCTATAAGAAGGAACCATTAAAAAAAGAAATTGTGAAGATTGAAAATTAGGGGAGCAAATGTCTTAGAAATTGAAAACTTTTTAAGGATAAATTAGGATGTAAGATCAGTAAGGGTTTAGGGTAGAGATATAGTTTTCTGATTTGAAGTCTCAAATTATTATAGTAGCCATTGTGCAAATAAAGTTCAAATCTCATTTTGAATACATTCTCTAGCAATTAATTTTTAATATCTTTTGCATAGCTCGTTCGACCAGTCACCATGGTGCCTAGTGTTCCAGGAATTCCAGGTCCTTCCTCTCCCCAGCCGGTACAGTCAGAAGCAAAAATGGTAAAAAAGATATTATTTGTTATGTCCATTTCTTGAGCTGGTTTTGAAATAGTTTTTTTCATTAAGGCCCACTTCAAATGCACAATTTAGATCACATTTTGTAAAATTATGGGCTGTATTACACTATTACAAAAACCAGAAGATTTGGAAAAGGAAAGCTTCAACTAGCATGGTTACTAGTTAGTGGTGCTTTAAATGGATGGATGGATGGGAAGTAAATTTCTAATTCTTGTCTGGGTTTTGGCTATAGCTTTTAAACAAACTGTCCTCCTGGTGGAGGCTAGGAATATTACAGGTGAAACTAGGTGTAATATCTGAAGGCAGTGCTGATAAGTGGTTATAAACAGTGATGTACATTTGTAGAACAATATTGACAAGAATTCTGAAATAGTACACAAATTAGTCAACGTTGCATCTGATATATAAAGGAAAACCATTTTTTTGAGTTGTGTTTCAGACACTAAGAAATTATTATTTAAGGAATGAATTATAGATTAGGAGTCAGGAGACATGTGTTTTAAGTTTAATCCTAACTCTGCTACTCATTACTATTAACCAAGCCACTGTAACTTTTCTGAGATTGGTTTCCTCATCTGTAAAACAAATGGATTATACTTAGATTTCTGGGGTTTCTCTTAGCCCCAAATCCTATAAATTTGCTAATTTTCTTGCTAGAAAACCTGCAGCTGCTGCATTTTTTTTAAAAATTATCTCTACCCTTCAAAAGTCTTAAATTTCATCTAGTGTTTTTATTTAAAATGGCGGTAAACCCTACTTTAAATCATATATAAATGAATTCCCTAAGAGGCCTTGTGATAATCCCTGAAAGATAACAAAGCCAGAATTTTGAATCATGGCTTTGGCAGAGAATATTGTTTCCTCTTCTCACTTGAGTTGTGAACCTTGAAGCAAAGAGTAGTAGGACCTGAGAAGGTCTGAATGCATATTCATTCATGATGCTCTTTCAGATGGTGTCCCCAAGAATATTTTTTGGGATCATTCCACAATTATGTGTGCTCAGTGACATCACTGAACTAACTCGGCATGTGGTCTATTTTATTTAGTTCCCTGACCCTGACCTTAGGACCATGGTAAACTAGCTCCCTTCAAGAAGCTCTCTGTGGTTTATGCGGTGTGGGTGAGGACAGCTGTTTTTTTAAGCTGAACTTGCACACACAAAGTGTGGATTTCCAACACAGCTTTGGGAAGAGACCTTACAGGGCTCATATACCAAAGGAGGGAATAGGATATATACCATCACCTTTGGGGATTGAATGCCATCTGGGCTCTCTTGCATTATGCCATGGTCCTTATGGAATTCCAAAATGAGAATGGAGGGTCTTTCCTCTCCCTCCACAACCAACTTGCAGCCAGTGGTGTGGCTGGTTTTCCAAAATGCTGTACAAGACAGTGCCTCTTCTGTGCATCATCATCATCTTTTATATAAATCAGTGTAATTCTCACTTCTACCGTCTAACATACTTTAGGGCAGTTTCTTCTTAACAGCAATTAATGTACCATTAGGAAATCAATAGATAAATAGTTATTAGGTGCCTATTATTTGCTTCACTTCAGTGCTAGGCACTGTATTAATGATATAAATTTGTACACATAAAACCATTACATATTGCAAGGCTTTAAATTTTTTATTGCTATTCCCTATTAATTTCAAATAATCAATCTGAAATTGGCATGGGATAGCTTTTTTTAACAATAAAACCTACACACCATCTGAATGAACTAAGTAGATGATTAAGGTGTGTGAAAATTAGCTGCTTATTGATTGTGGTAAGAGAACTTGAAAACCTGAAAGGGAAATTTTTCACATAACAGCATGTTTAGATCAGAATTTCAGAAATACTAAGATGAATCTTCACTTGATAGCCAAAGAGCTTCACTGGGAATATTTTTTGTACTTTTTACTTTAAACACATCATTCTAATAAAAAATTCAGTTAGTGAGAACTGAGAGTAGAAATGGGAGTTAAAGAGATCATATTGTGCTGCATTGCACCTAAAAATATTTTTACATATTCAGTGGGCTTCTTTTCTTACAAATTAATTCAAAAGGAACAAATCAGATTTCAATAAAACTCTTGACTTACAAGAGTAGGCCATATTTGTAGAAACTATTAAATTTAGCACTTCCCTAAATAGCACTTTGTTAAGTCACCAGAAAATTAAATTAATAAGAAGAAAAGTGTTTTGTATGCTTGTATATTAAAAAAATACCAAGGCCATAACGTTTACAAATTTATATATAGCATGGGGAGTCACAGATTGCCCCACTTAAATTTAATAATCCAGATAAATTTCTTATTAGAAGTTTGCTAATGTGAAATAGCTATATTTAGATGATTGCCTATTTTAATTGGGATAATAAATGTTTGTCCTTTTGTAATTAAATAAAAAGACTCAGAAGTTAGTCTGTTTCCTTTTTTTAACTTTCATTATGGACAATTTCAAGCTTAGATAAAGTAAACAGGATAATATAATGAACCCCCATCACCCACCTTCAATTATTAGCAAAATATTCTTATTTTATCTGTACTTCAAACCACTCCCTACCCCCACTCAATTGTTTTTAATAGGCTTTTTAAATGTAAAATTTACGTACATTGGAATGAACCAGTTTTAACTGTACAGTTTTGATAAGTGCATTCATGTAACTCACACCCTTATTATGGTATAGTACAGTAACATCTACCCAGAAAGTTTACTTTCCTTCCCAATCAGTTCACCTCCCCCAACTGTTCTATTTGTCATCAGCAATTAGTTCTAGAACTTCATATAAATGGAATCTATATATTCTGTGTCCAGCTCAGCATGTGTCTGTAAGATTTGTCCATGTTGTTGAGTGTATCATAGTTTGCTTCTTTTTATTGCTAATATTCCATTTGTATGAATACCACAATTTCTTTATCCATTCTCTTGTTGATGGACACTAGAATGGCTTTTAGTGTTTAGCTACTGTGAATATACTATGCACATTTTTATATAACTCTTCTTGTGAACATATATTTGAGTAGAATTGCTGACTCAGAGAGTAGGTATACACTTAACTTTATGAGAAACTGCAGAGCTTTTTCCAAAGGTTTACATTCCTACAAGCAGTGTATGGGAATTCTAGTTCCCACATTTTTCCAGCATTTGGTTTTGTTTATCATTTTCCTTGTAGACATTCTATGAGTGTATAGCAGTATCTCTGAGTCTGTAGCTTGCCTTTATTTTTCTTATTATATTTGTACTATTATTGATTGCTGCTATTATCTTTAATATTTCCTTTTGCGTACTTAATTGGATTTAGTTTGCTTTTATTAGCTTCTTAAAGTGGAAGCTTAGATTATTGATTTAAATATTTTTGCCTTTTAATATATGCATTTAAAGCTATATTTGTCTCTGTACAAATTTTGATATGCTATATTTTAATTGTCTTTCATTTTCTAATTTCTCTTGTGATTTCTTCTCTGAGCTATGGGTTATTTAAAAGTGAACTGTATAAATGGATTTACGCAGTATTTACTGTTGTGTCTGTCTTGTTGTATTCAGCATAGTGCTTTTGAGACATTGTTGTGTATTTCGTTCCCTTTATTGCTGACTAATATTTCATTGTATGAATATATCATAGTTTGTTTATCCATTCACCTGTTGATGCACATTTAGGTTGTTTCTGGTGTTTAGATATTATGAGTTAATCTGCTGTGAATATTCTTGTACAGTATTTGTGGAGAGAGGTGTCTTCATTTTTCTTGGGTAAATATCCACTGTGGTGTTTTACTGTTTCTAGCTGCATGACTAGAATGATACTAGCTGAACCAATTCTTTGCTTGCTTAAATGCACCAAAAAATAAGTTGGCTTTATGAATGATGGATAGAGGGATGAGTTTGTGAACAGATGTGTGATAAAGCAATATAGTAAAATGTTAGTGGAAGACTGTAATGGTGGGTATACAGATGTTTATTGTATAATTCTTCCATCTTAGATGTATGTTTGAAATTTATTATAATAAAATGTTGAGAAAGACTCCATAGTGTTTTTCAGAAGAGAGGAGAAAAAAGGGGCTAGCCTGAGGGTATTATGTGACAGACTTTCGTAGATACTTACTGATCTTCCTCTCTGATTAACTTTGGATGAACTGACCTCCACTCCTGGTTCTTGTGTAAACTGTAGCTTCTTGGCAATATCAACAAGCGTCTACTTTTGGATCTCAGGTCTCTTTCATTTTCTTAGTGCTTCTTGTCTTTATATAGAATAACTGGAACTGGAAGCAGAAGTGAGAAGCAAGATTTTATTTTCCAAGGTTCACAATTATTTAAAAGAAAATATTTGTTACCTACCCTTGAAGCTCAGGTACCTATTTGGCTTATAACTTTATCTGGATAATTATCTGAGTTATCTTATCTGGCTTGTATCTCAATCTTCATAACTCTGTAATAGGTGGTATTGTTTTATAAATAAAATAAAACTTTAAGTAAAAAAAGGTGTATTTTATAATTTCCAAATATTTTGAGGCTTTTCTCTTTATCTTTTTCTTACCGATTTATATTTTAATTATACTGTGGTTTGGTAACATACCACCTTTGATATATTTGTCCTGTGTTTCCATTCTCTAATATGTCATAGCTATTTGGCTCATTGTAAAAACAATAGATATTGCCATGCTATTCAGGTAACATGAACTGGTAATAAAATATCAGTTGTCTGGAATGCTAAAGGAATTCTGATTAATTGGGATTATTTTTTTGCACAGAAATTATTTTACTGCACACTTCACTATTGGTTTATTATTTTTATCAAATATTATTAATCTGCTTACCCTGTTTTAGTAACAGAATAAACATCATTTAGTTTCTGTTTAAGAATTTTTGCCCGGTCGGGCGTGGCTTAGCAGTTGAGCATCGACCTAGGATCCAGGAGATCGGGGTTCAATTCCCGGTCAGGGCACATGCCCAGGTTGTGGGCTAGGCAGCTGATCAGTGACTCTCTCATCATTGATGTTA